TTTTCCCATCCCCTGCCCAAAACATCTTCGATGCGTTTCATATACTGTGTCAGTTTACTATCGATTTGACGAATCCAAAGAATCGATGCAGCAACGGGTGGTATATCAATGGCTCGCAATATTCTTGCATTATCTGCTTCATTGAAATTTTTAAATCGTGTCTGAAAAAACCTTCCATAATAAATCAAATAGATAATCCGTTCACCACTTTATTACTCAGAGACTGAAAAAATGTACTACCTGTAATTTATCTATATCCTCTTTGACTCTCTGTATCAGTTGTGTCTGATATTCTCGTATTGCACCACGGATATGTGGTCGAACAAAAAGAGCATTGAATCGTTGGAAAATCATAAACATTTCATCAGCATTTCTAGCACCACCCAACTGATCCCGTAATTTGGCAGTAATTTGAGTTTCAACGCGATCAATTTGATCTTCATATCTAAAAAAAAAAAAAAAAAAAAAAAAAAAAAATACATCGATAAATCCACACTATCCGAAAATGTATCGAAGCATTTTTTTTTCTTTTTTCTCGTTCGCAAGAAAAATTATACTAACCTACGTATAGCAGCTTCCCATGCAATAGTACCATCATTACTTACATCCAAACAATCAACCTCCTTAACATTTTCATATGCTGTGTTCACTTGCTCGATAGCACTTAACTCCGGAGCAATTAAGGTCGATGTTTTTTCAACATCCGAATCAGATCGCTTCTCTCCCTTCTGTCCCACTGGCCTCAACACCCGTGATATAACTGTACGTAACTGCTCATGTTGTCTAAAATGCTAGCATTAATATTCACTTCCCATATTGTGCAGCATGATTATGGACATTTATTTACTACAGTAAATGTAAGAATTTATTAAAGATGAATGTGGAAAAAGTCATTCACAAAACTTTTCAATGGCAAAAAAGGAACTGAATTATCAACGAGGAAGCCATTATGTAACAACTAAAAGCAAAGCCAACCGACGAAACTGTCGCATCTGGTCAAGGCGACTTTCTAATTTTTTGTGCTGAGGATTAAGTCGCCACGTTAACTTGAGTTGTTCATCACGCTTTTTCTTCGACAAATCACGCATTAAGGTTGCTAGTTTATCATATTCATCATTCCATATAGAAAAAACAGCGAAACATTGCGCCATTAAACTATCAAAATCTCCCAAAGGAATATTCATCAACCGTCTAGTACCAAGCGTCTGGAATTTAATAGATCCAACCGAATTTAATGGTCGAGTATAAGAAAGAAATGAAATAATTTATAACCATGTACAGCATGCAGTGATAACAATAACCTTTAACATTTGAGTTAAAACATCCTTTGAAATAGCTTCCACAAAGCGCAGAGCTCGAGCAATTGGATATTTTGTATTGCGCAATTTTCTCATATGTGTAAATATATTCGCTAAAGCATTTTTAATGCCATCCATATTTGTAGCAGCCATCAGTTCATTCAAAGGCAAATCCTTCATCAGCACGTTGTAATCATTCACCATTGCTAACGTCTGCTTAAGACCTACAGTAAAATCAAAAATAAGTTGATTCGTGTCCTCTATAACAATAATTTGTCAGAATTACATAATTATTGTTTAAATTAATGAAACGTATTTTCAGCATGCATAACAACCTGTATCGGCATCGAATGATACTGTTGCATGAAATCTCTTGCCACATTTCAAAGTTTCTAATGTCAGAGTTACTTCATCAGATTCTCTCTTCTGCGCAATCTTTTGCAAAGCTCTTTCCAAATTCAACCAAAATGTCATTTCTTGCAGCGAAGTTCCTGAGCCCGCATCGCGATCCAGTTTTGTCACCTTGACACGCACATTATTATGAAAACGTTCTACAGAAGGGAACCAAACTTGTAAAAAAGAACACATGCCTTCTGAATTTCTTTAACCCATCGATTGACGCCTTTCTGTAAAGCATTCAAAAAAACTGAACTTTCGACTAGACCGCCAAGATCAGTTACTCGAGCTTTATGTCCTTTTTCTGCAGCTTGCTGAATAGCATTTTGAATCACTGGATGAATAGTCAAATTAATTTCTGGTATGTCTATATTTTGCTGCATGTGGAGTAATGCCACCTCCACCTGAAAACAACATACCAAAAATAAGCTATTATATCTATCTTCTCCAAAAGCCGACGGAAACAAAAAAAAAAAAAAAAAAAAAAATGTACTTCACTCAAGTGTTTCTCAACAGACAATGCGAGCTTGTCACCATCTCGCTCACCTCGACCATAATCAACTAAAGATTTGAAAAGTGGCGTTCCAATGCGCCCAAAAATCGACAGAAGTACATCATAAGAATTACCTTCTGGTATTCTGAAATACTTTATGAATTCTTCGTTGTAAAATAAAGGGAATACTTGCAAAACCTATCTCAAAACTTCGCAAGCAGGATACTTTTAAAACATGGCACGCCTAACTAACCTTATAACATATAGCTGATCTTCGATTGGTTTGTCAGCTTCAATATACGTGCCACTTTTTAGCAGCAATAAAGATGTTGTTCGTTCGGTACGTTTAGCGATTTCATTGGAAATGCGAAATACTGAAGTAACATCCTCAACAGCATCATCTGGATTTGTATCTAAATCTGAACTCATTCAAAACCAGAAGAAACATTGCATGCATTCATCAAATGGCAAATTCGCAGCTTTCAAAGCTTTCATGGGAAAAATACATGTAATAAATATTACTTCAATTCTCTACCTTATGTGAGAGATCGTTTCATAACAACATCTGGTCAAAATTTCCGTACAAGGAAGATTTTTACTTAATCATTTATTTCGAGGCTTCTTCACAAACCTCTTGTAACGACCCGATCAACAACCAACATCTGTACTTGTGGATCACTAATGAATTTTTGCACACATTCCGCATTTGCACTCTGTGAAAGAGCTTCCTTTAATGCCGCACTCCCAGCACCAATGAATTCATGTTTTACATAGTCCAATAGAATGGGAATATCAACCAACGCCACCTAAATTTGAAATTCTAAGGCTTAAAACTTATAGAAGAGCATATGTAGTTCATTTTGTCCTCTCATCAAGTATACTCAATTATCATTTTTAGTATATTGCGCTTGTATTATCTCATTCTTTACTTTTCGTTTCTCTAGTAAACATCCGTTCTTCAAAAGAAATCCTCTGAAACAATTCTAGTTATCGATCATTGTTGTGCATATTGTCCGAGTCGAAATGAAACCGAGAAATACGTACTGCAGAGAAATACTTTTCATATGACATGTCTTTACATTTCAGTAACTATAATTCACACCCATCCAAATTAGGGTATTTTTGAACTAACTTTCTAAAATCACTTCCTTGTATGAAGCATGATGTGAACTCCCGGTTCACACAAAAAAATTATGGCAGGCATTTGATATAAATCGAACGTCAACCAATGAACCTCAAAAGTAAAAATAAAGCCGAGGTAAGTTAGTGGATAACATAGTAAAGCACCGGAATGTGGATATGAGTGAGTAATTCATTAAAAAATATAAACGAACTTCGCCAGCAGCGGGTGTTGTGGTTGCAACCGTTGACTTATCACTTTCAGAATCAGTCATTCGGCCAAACCATCACTTAAAATATTCAAATCTCAATTTCCTGTCAACACGAAATGATAATTCATTAAGTACATAAAATCAAACACAAACAACACAACGCTTTTTTTTCCCTAAATACCCAGTATCCGGAAGAAGTCGTCCAAAAGACTGATAATCTAACTTAATGATCCACAAAATTTTTCCTTTCTTTGAGATCACTACGACACCTGAGTGATAATGGACAATGCTTTTCATCCTTAATGATAAACTATCAATTAGTCAGTACGGTTTCAAGAGTGCTCTTGTGAAGGCCGATAAAAATTTCTGGTCCTTCCTAGATGCATGAAAGATTCATCCAACCCATTTCGTTAGGATTTTGGATTCATCAAACAGTAGTGATGAGGCAGACAGATGGACAGGTGATTGGTGTGATAGAAAGAACTGATAAAAGAGAGCGATGTAGCACTCACTTCGGCATCAACATATGTTGCAGATAAAAGGCTTACAGTTTATTCAGAAAAGAAGAAAATAAATGACAAATAGAAAGAGGAGAGAGATGGAAAGACTACTGCAACATCCTTGCAGAGTTTGCAGAGTGTCACCCTGCACTGTGAAATCCCACCTAACTACAGCATGCGCTGTACACACTTCATATTTTTCAGGAAAGAACAGCAAACATTATCTTTCTCCAAAGTGAAATTTCAACGAGCTACCTGCTCCCACAGATGCTAATGCTAAGTCATGATAGTATATTCATGACAGACTGATTGGTTATCACGAGCTAAGCTAGTTACCAAATTAAGTGAACGGAAATGGGTACTAAGGAGTAGGAAAGGAGAAAAGAGGCATGGGCACAGGAGGAGCTATATTACAAGATGTGGCCAATGCCTTAGCAGCTGTCGTTCGCTCTCAGCTTCTTCCACATCCATCAAATGTCTCACTGAACGAACCGAGAAAGAACTCTTCTCTTTTCTTCTTTTTCGAGGACTTGGCTTGTTATGAGGAACAATGAGACATTGAGTGACAGAGATGTGTCACGAGAATCTTTGCTCAAAGTAAGCACTGATCACTCACACATATTCTATAATCCTATCAACCCACATGTTCCAGGCATTACACAGTGTTCTACCTTGGATATTTTCGTTGTAATGTCGTGACCCCTTCCTACAGAAGTTCAACTTCGCTCAGCGAGGCTAGCAAAGATCACAATTTGAGATCCTTAAATAAGATTAATCCATAAGTTCTATTGAAGTATTTGAACTGACGAAATAGGATAGAAGAGCAAGAGAGGAGAAACGCAGAGTGAATATCAGAGGAAATGGATTGTTGCGATCGTTGTATACTTCATTCTTCTGATTAATTCAGCGAAAGTGATACCGAAATGATAAAAGTGCATGGTATTTGTGCAGTGCTACTCATTTGTAAATCAAATTTGCAGGGATGATAGACGAAGATGACGAATTTACGGATGGCGATGAATTTGAAGAACTCTCTGCATCCGTACTGGCAGATGGTGGCAAGAAATGTACCATTTTCCTTGTTGATGCTTCACCCAAAATGTTCGAGAAATACAAAAGTGTTGATTCAGAAAGCGATTGTTCATTTCGAAGAGCTTTGAAAGTATAATTCATCCGTCTCATGTCTATTGCAACCAACACCCATAATCTTCTTGATGTGCTAATCAATTGCATCTCTTGCAGATTGTGCGTTTGCAAATGGTCAACAAAGCGGTAACTTCAGCATTCGGAGAGTATACTTGTTGCATCCTCTTAAATACTGTAATTTTTTCAGCACTGATCTTAACACTTGTCAATTTAGGACTTCTTGTGGTTGCTAAATCCCTCGAAAGCCACTGTATACGGAATGAAACGGAACATTGGATGTTTTTGGAATGGCATGCGTTAAAAATAGAATGTTTTTTTTTTTGGGTGGGGGGGGGGGGGAGGGAATGATTGAAAAGCAGTCAAAAAGGAATGCAAACAGAAAGAAGGCTTCAAAGTGTATAATCTAAAATATACTTGGAGTGAAATTTTCAGTGAGCTGAAGAGATATTATTTTAAAGCATCCATAGATATGCGATAGTGGTTAAACCCAGAATCTGGAAGTACATTAACAATGGTAGTGTTTTCAGCAAATTAAATCGCATTCAATCGACCATGTATATGTTATGCAAGAAATAGAAGAAGTGTCTGCTGAACGAATCAAAGAATTAGATCAATTATTAAAATCAGGCATCTTATTGGATTCTTTGGCTATTAGTTTTATTATAAATTCTCTTACTTGTGTGATGTAATGTAAGGGAAAAAACTCTGTAAAGTTTGTTCAGTTTAGAGTCGTATTTGATCCTTGAAATGGTGTCTAACATTTAACTGTTGGGAATTCTTCAGTTTAATTCTGTTTATTCCTTTTGATAGTCTTCTAATTGTTTTCTAATCTGGTTTCTAAATTTACAATTAATTTTCCAATTTCTAGTGTAGAAAATTTAAATTCAAATTCATTTGCAGAAAATATATTGTCAGCTTTCAAGGCCATATATGGTGGACATGGTCACTGTGATTATAGCGAAGCACTGTTTTTATGCATTAAAAGAATGACTTCCCGAACGTAAGTTTTTTTGAACTTTTTTTTTTTGATTTTACCTGCGAGCTTCTGCAGAAACTTCAGAATGGCCCACTTTTTACTGTAATGAAATTGTAGCCCTTATTTCCGAAAACGGACTGTTTATTTGTTCACCAACGAAATGAATCTATTTGGTGCAAATAATCAGCATCGTGTTGCTGCCTGCAAAAATGCTGATGATCTTCGCAATCATAACACAGAGTTTTTGATCTTTCCACTTATTACTGAAAACGATACATTTGTATTCAATATTTTGGTAAGGTTTAATGGTAATAAATACAAAAAATTTATAAAATGTCATTAGTACTATTTTTTTTCATTTTATATAATGTAAAACGTCGTTGGTCCATATTACTAGCTTTTCAGGAGTTTTTTTCTTGTGATTATTTTTGTTTTAGGAGCAGTTTGACCCAGATGTTGAAAAGAATTTCACAAATATTGGCGAACTGGAAAAAGAGTTAGTTTCAGACAGTTTTTGCGATTATCTGTATTTGATTTTCTGTTTTTATAATTATTTAATAACAGTTTTGAAACAAATACATTACTGCAGATTACTTTCGCAGAATCATGTGTATTTAGTTATTTTGTTATTTAGTTTATCAGTTTTGCAGTATACCAAAGAAGCAGTATGCACATCGAAATATAACAGGCATGAATTTCGAATTCGGAAATGGATTGAAGTTTTCAGTTGGAATGTTTGTGTTATTGTACTTCATTTGAAGTGTTATAAATAGATTCTTTCTAAATCTGTTTTAGATGCAGCGGAAATTCATTTATAAGATTTCCCAGTTAGTTTTTAAATAATTCGTATATATTAAAATTCATATTTGATTATAAATTTCTATTTTCATGTTTATTTATTCATATGGAAAGTTAGGAATCACTTTCAAGAATAGTATTTTTTAGTTATTCTTTGCTACACTCAGAGAAGATTCCTCAGCCTGCGATTCTAAATGCTGAAAAAAATGAAATTATGCAGCGGTCATATATATATGTTAATAAAGAGGTTCATATTTAGATTTTCTAAAATTTTCATTGTGAAGCATTTGTATTAGATTGAGATATAATTTCTTTTTAAATCTATTTTAGATACGGCGGAGTTTTGTAAGGTTTTATTTTTTAAATAATTCCTCCTTTTAATTTTCCTTCTAAATAATTCCTTTTTTTAAGAGTAATGAGGAAATACCAATACTTGATAAGGAAATCATTCTAAAGCGACAGATCGGAGGTGAAGTTGTTGATCTATCCACAGATGAAGTCGAAAAGTTGCGAAGGCTAACACCTCCAGGTTTTAGGTTTTCTTGCATATTTCATTATTTTGCAAGAAATAAGGAAGTATGGTTAAAATCGATTCTTTTTGAGTAAACATTTTTGCTAATAACATTTTTGTGCATTAGTTTCACTTCTTCTTGAAGGAAAGAACGGGTAGCAGATGTTCGTTTATCCTTCAGTATTCAATTTTCGTTTTACTCTCTATATATCATTTATAGGTATGGTATTACTCGGATTTAAACCTCTTTCGTGTCTTAAAATCACGCATCATGTCCGAAGCTCACAGTTCGTTTATCCTCTTGAAAAGGTGAATAAATATGTGTCCTTTGCATTTCATTGAATAGGAACATTTAATGAATGGTTAGAAAATCTGATAAATTTATTTTAGAGTTGCATCACTGCTTTTTTATATGGTACATTGCAAAAAAAAATATGATTGTTATGGAATATAGTGATACTTTCCGGCATAATCCTTATACTACGATAATTGAAATGATTTTTGCAAATAACTTAGTCTAGATCTGATTGGAATTAAAAAAATTCGCTCAGTAATCGTGGCTAAAATGAGATGTGTGTAGTTTTAGGATATTTTGGGTTCTACTCGAATGTACCGTACTCTTTATGAAGTTTGTATGAATCAGAGGAAAATGATTATATGTCGATATACTCAAAAAACGAATGTACCGCCAAAGCTTGTCGCTTTGGTGCCACAAGCGTCCGTTGCTGAGGATAATTCAAAAGTTTATATATATATCTTCGTCTTTCTTTACTTAGCTTTTTTTCAAACGAAGATATTTTCAATTTACTTGCTGTAACCGATGTATATTTAGGACGAGTTCAATTCAAAATTTCGTTACCCTGGGTTTCATCTGATATATTTGCCATTTACAGAAGATAAGCGTGATTTCAGCGAACAAATGACTCATCCGGACGGCGATTGGCCAGCTGGTATTTTATAATTTTTGCTGGACAGTTGGATTAAAACCTTATTTATAAATAGTATAAAGTATGGTATAAATAATGAAAAATTACTGAGGACTTGAAGTTTGTAGATTACGAAAGCCTAAAGCTAATAAGATCAAGTTCTAGCCTCAAAGGAACAGATTGAAGTCGCAAAAAAATTGGTGAAAAAACTTACATCTGGTTATTTCCCCGAAAAATTTTATAATCCAGGTGAGTGGCTCCAAGTTTGTCGATTATTTTGACAAAAAATAATACTCAGTTATTTGTTGCGAAGCCATTTTAAACAATTTTGGTATTTTATTTCTTTTCTCGAAATATTAAGTATATCATCTTTTATTTTCAGTATTGCAAAAACATTATAAAGTGATTGAAGCTCTTGCTCTAGATTGTGATGAAATAGCGGAAGTTCAAGATCAGATCCGTATGTTTCTTTTTTTGCATCGTGGATTTGTTAAAATGAGCTGTAAAAGGATTGGTATCGTAAACTTTGTTTAAGGCTGACGTGCTTAACCATGTTCGTTTGCAGTTAATAAATGGATAGCTCAGTAAGGTGAACATTAAGAGATTTGTATAAATAGATATAAAAGTGTTTTGACGCTCTAGCAATAGTGCTACAAACAGTTAACTTTTTCATGTTACAGTGATTGTACTGGAACACTAGAAATTTTAAATTGACCAACCTTAATTGGTGTCAGCTTTTACTTAACAGCCCTGGTGTAGAAAAGCAATATTCTAGAGCCATATTTTGCGTACAATAATTTTCGGAAAAGGGTAGAAAAGGAGCTGGACGAATTTCGTTCCTGCTTACTGTCTGAAAGTTGCAATTCAGAGCAAAAGTGCAGTAAGGAAGCAAAAAAGACTGATCATATAAGTTAGTTTTAAAGATTTTCTTCATTTACATGTTGGATTGAACTCTTTATCGTGCATTTCTATATTTGTGCTTGCAAATGCTTCTATTTATCGTTCTGGAACCGATTTGCTTTAGGAATAAAGATGTTTTCTTAAGTAGGTGAAAATATATTTATCATTACTTTAGCAGATTTCTTCAAAGAATTTTTTATTTATTAAGCAGGTAACACATGGAATACAAAAAGGAAGAAATCGTTGGACGAAAGCTTGCTGTATTTGGCTAGTAATCACTTGGTAAATTAAAATGCTAGTTTTGTTTGACATATTGCAGACAATATTCGTACTTATTACTTAATTATTTTAAATGTAACGAGTCCATAGCTTCTTATTGTCTTAATATTAATTCTTGCTTAAAAATAACTATTTTCAACTTGCTTTTTCTAAACACTGCAAATTTCAGTTAGAGAAGATGACGGTAACGCAGTTAAAGAAGAAAGCAATCGAGGAGCTCGTCTACATTAAACCATATGCTAAAAAGGCAGATATCATTGATGCAATTGAGAAGCACTATAGAAGCACATAAATTTTATCTTCATTATTAATGATGTTCTTGTAAATCTGATTATTTAAGACTTAGAAGAGACTATGGGATCGAGCTATTTCAAATTATTTTGAACAGTCGGAATCCATTTTAAAACGTATTTAAATTAGAGTAAGTACTCAAAAACCTTTACTCTATGTAGATCTTGTTTTATGTTTTCTAGTTTTATATTTTAAACTGTCGATTAGCTATGAAGACTAGGTGTTAAAGAAATTATATAAGTTTTTTATATGTTATGTATTTTCAATTTCGAAAAACTCTTCACCGTTCACTTGTACAGCTTCCTTTTCTTTTTTCTGATCAGGCAACAACATGTGAAAGTTATCGTATTGCGCTGACAAATAGTTTATGTGAACAATACTGACCAAAATAAAAATTTCAGAAATGAATTCAACAATTTAATTAATTTCTAACAATGCCTCTGTTTTACCCCAAAATTGTTTTTCCGAATAGGTGTAGAATACAACAGAAGGTAACGAATACATTATTAATGTTTCGATGGCCAAACTTCTCTAATTCTTTTGTAAAAAGGTACTCGCGATCCTTTTGAGTTTTTCGTCTGAAATATTATTCGTAATAAAATGTTAAGCAATAATTTGAAATGTAAAGTCATGAATTTGTTCTTGGAAGTACATATAAATAGTCGTGAAATTTTTAAATATTCCCATGAAAAATAAGTTCCAGAATGTTTAGTTTGACAAGCATAAGTTACGAGAGGTTTTACATTATCATTCTTCAATACTCGAGAATGACTTTCAATTATAAATTTTTTAAAGAAAAGCTCACTGCCAATGATTTTGGCGATGGCAGGGAATGTCACTTTCAGTTCTTCCTTAGTTTCTTCACTGAGTGCTTGATATTTAGCAATGATATCTCGGGCTGCTTGTTTAATTTTTTCTGTATCAAGCTTGTGCCCGTCGTCTGATCGCAATGATCGTGCCTTGGCGATTATCTTAAATTTTAATTATTTTAATGCGCCATTCACGAATTGATATTTTCATTTTTTCAATACATCTCGTTCTGGATAAAATCTGATTGACTATTTCCATGTTAACTGTTAGCTGAAGCTAATAAAATAAACTGAACAAAATTGAGCATAATAGAGAAATAGAAATGAGATGGATCAGATTTACTGCATTATTTTGTTTAACTAATATTTTGCAGAAGCAGAAAAGGCAAAGTTAACGAATGAATTGGACGCTGTTTTGGACTTTGATAGGAAAATGTATGGATAACCTCATCGACAAATATTTTAGCATCTGGCTTTAAGCTGTCAATTTTTGCTTTGACGAAATTTCGTAGTTCCACTGCGTTTTTGTAAAGTTTATCGGACTTGTCTTTAAGCGCTTCCAGTGCAGCATCTTCATTTGCAAACGTCGCATGTTTGCTTGCTAATTCACGAAGAATTTCTTTATCTTCCACTGTCAAATCTTTGTAGAAATTCCTCACTTCTTCAGGTATAAATTCTTCAAGTGTATTACAAATATTATTTGATAACTTCATTAATGAAATTACCGCAAATTTATAAAGCTCTCCTCTCAATACGAATATTTTAAAGCATTCATTATAAGACAAACTTTGAAATATGAATTTAAGAAACCGAATTACATGCTGATTAAGGGTCAAGGAGAGATTAAATTTATGGATGATTATTATAAAGATCTAATTGAATAAGTTTGCGAATTTTATAAAATTTTAAGAATTTATGGTTCATTCTAATTACATAAACACAAGAGCATAAAGTACATAAAGATAAGAGCATAAAGATATTTCATGATCTCATTATATTTTTACGCTTTTATCTTTACATAATTTGTATTCTTTTGCTTGTACTCTATACTTCACATACCTTTATATTCTTCCGGAATATTACTCATAGAGAAAGGAATAACATTTGCCATAGTAGTGCCAACTAATGCCAGCAGAATCAATCGGTGATACATTTTAATTGTCAACGAAAGTTTCTCAATTGCCTGCAGTAATTTCAGGCGGTTAATTTGGAATTAAAGATAAGCGGAAAAGTGTTAACTCACACAAATAAAATTCATTTCGGTGACATTTTCGTTAAACTTGATCTTTCAACACTAAATATATAGGAAAATATTCTTTGTTTGTTTGTTAAGATGTGCAGGAAGAAAAAGTTGTGGATGAATATCAATTCAAATTTAATGATTTCATTCCAGGATTTTTTAGCTATCCTTAATTTTCGCGAGTTAGAACAGAGCCCTAAGCTTCCAAAGAGTTAGGTTTGTTGGACTTAGTAGCAAAGATTTAATGCTTCGCGTTAGATGTCACTTTCACTAGATTTGACTAAAATGATGACTTTAACTGAGTTGATGGTAGTAGCAAAAATTAAGAAAAATGGTAACATTTAAACTTTATCAAGTTGTTGCTGTAAATTCATTCCTTAGCTTAAAAAAAAAAAAAAAAAAATGGGTCGAAAGTTTATAACGTCTGATAAATTTTTTTGTCAAAAAAAAACACCTGATATAAATGAATTTTTTGGAAATATCATATGTTATAAATTTTTACTCACTGTTAAATTTCCCAGTTTTAATTTGCGCTCTCCACCCATGTTAACAAGCCCGGAAACTTCTTTCGCACCCCATGCATTAATATACACTACTAAAAAAAAAGATTCTAGAAGCAGAAGTACCATAAATGGCCTACATAAAATTCGTTCCCTATTATATTATCATAAAACATTCCATTATAACATCAAACCCTGTGATTCGCAACATATAGCTGAATCCGTTGAATTTACGATAGCAAAGATTAGCACTTCATACTTTTTAGTGTAAATCGTTTATCACAAAAAAAAAAAAAAAAAATGATGAAAGGGGCAATGAAATTGGTGAATTTATCAGCTATGTCAGCTCGCAAATCATAAATATGACGTGGTTGCTTGCAATATTTGATTTAATCATATAGAAATTTCATTGGTTAAAGTAATGCACAAATCAAAACCGCCCACACAAGCATTCCATTAAAACTCACTTCACTCTATAATTCTTATGAATAAAACTTGAACTTCAAATGCTTCTAAATAAAGATGACACATAAGGACAAATTGTCTGATTTGTAGCTTTTTGAAAATAAGAAATCAAAAACAAACAAATGTATAAGTATCATGTGGATAATTGCAACTGCTCTCAATATTGCAGTAATGTCATGAACATTTCGTGCTTATATGAATTTGAATTGGAAAAGAGAAAAATGGCTCAAAATTTGATAAGTAAATGCTTCCGGGCTCATTCTGCTATCAATTTAGAAGTGGAAGTGATATGATAGGAAAGGTATATGCGGCAAATCATATCAATATACTGATAAAAGGGGAAATGAGGAAGAGGACTGGATGGAGAGGGCAATAGCAATAGCGATGAAGCAGCAACGACAACAGTAACTGAAACAAACTGGATATGAGCTAATTCTTCTGAAGAGTGCTTTTATCAATCATATCCTGCACACTTTATATCAGTATGTAAGCTTTCAAACGAGAGGTTAATTGAGAGGAGAAAGAGGCTAAACTGCATCATTCTTTCAGCAAAACTACCCATCAATCTAATCCATTGAAGGTTTTAGATGTTGCCGAACAGCTGTTGTCTTATGAAACATCTTTCGTTTTGCAGTAAAAATCAGAGTTCAACGAAATTTTCTGAAGCAAGATATCTCATACATTTTAAAGTAGCCTTTGACTTATAACACTTTGTAGCACATTGTTGCTTGGAACGAAGGAAAACTGGAAAGATCAACGAGCAGTAGCAATTCCAAGCTAAGAAAATTCACTAATTTAATTTTATACTTCCTCAAATATGTGTCCAGAGCTGACAGCAAATGTCATTTATAAATGAAAATTGTTTAGTTAGATTTTTCTAGAAAAGATTGACTCATATCTTACTCAGCAAAATTTAGCCTTTTAAAATTCAAAACTTCTAGTAGGTCTGAAATTTTTAAATTCAGCTAGACTTAAAGAGCTTAAGCAAGTGAAGACAAACAACAAGTTAATCTTCATTTTTTCATATGTGTTTACTTTATTTTCCAAAATACTATCCTGTCTGGAAAATTTAGATCCGATCTCAGTTTCCTTATTTTTTCTTACGTTAAAAAAAAAAAAAAAAAAACGTCTCGCAGCAAATGTATCTAATACATAACAATAACTGTGGACTAATCAGATCTATTTCAAGCAGAAAACAATCGATCAACGACTCACAGAATTGCTGATTTCTTTCACTACAGATAACGTCTTTCCGCAACATACAGCTCTTAATAGTCTTGAAACCCGAAGTCTATTTTTGAAATTCCTTTAGGTTTTAATGAATTCAGAATGAACGCAATGCAAGTTTTCAAAGAGAAAAAGAGAATGAGTAAAAGCTTTATTGGTTGCATTAAATAGAACTGACAACTTAAAAGCAAATTATTGTAAGACAAACACATTCACTATCACAAACATAATCTATTTCCTATAAAATGCCAGGCATTTACTATAAAGATTATATAATAGAGTATACGGAGCCTTAAATTATTCACTAAGCTGGCAACAACAGGATGCTTTTTAAATACTCAGAATTTAAACAAACAAGAATGAACAAGAAAGTAAATGAAGTATCTTTCTTCCTAGTAAATTCTTCATAACTAGAGAATATATGTGAGGAGGACAAATGCTAAGTGAATTTTATATACAATTTTTGAAATATGAATATGATGACTCAATAGTTTATTTGTTCTTCAAATGATATCCATCACGAATTTAATAAAAAAGATACAATATTAACACCTGTTTTTAATAATTTTATACCAGCATAAGTTAGAAGTTGGTTATGAAAAAAAAAGCAACTTAAAGAAAGAACGTAAAATTTATTTACATTTACAACAGCAGACAGCGGAGAAAACCCCAAGTAATTAAAAATTTCCCACAGTCAAATACAACTTTCTTTTTTTACCGATTTAAGAAAGATTTAGTTGATTACAAACTCTACACTGGCTGTCCAATCTTTCTGAATATTTCAATCAATGCAGTGTATGTTCCTGCTACCAGACCAATCAGTGCAAAAAGTAGTAATGTTAAGTCGATTAGCCAAACCTTGAGCACTAATTTGCCTCGAGAATGCGAGACCTAAAAAGTTGACCTTTATTCAGTGAACATTTTAAATTTACTTAGCATAATACATCGTATGATTTTTGCAATTTCTCACTATCAACTAATAAAAATATTTTGCCTATGAGTAAGTACTTTCTGAAATAAATATCATGTTTAATATCTTCTCTGAGTCTAATTTTCTAATAAAAACTTTTAAAGAAAATTATTTTAAAATAAAATTATAAAAAATTACAAGGAGATCAATGAAAGGTGGGAAGAGCAGAGCCATCGAAGATCCTGAGAATGCTCCAACAAATGAGATAAATAAGGCAAGATGGGGAATAAGTTCTGCAATTGCACCTAAAAAAGAAACAGTTAGTACTCCATGGCAAAATTTATTACAAAAACTTGATGTAATACTTGATTTTTAGTAAAAGTAGGAATCGGTACAGTTTTTGTAAGAAATCCATGTAAAAGGATAAACATTTAGAGTTTCAAATATGGAAAAAACAAAAAATGAGCTGACATGTCAACAACACAATTCCGTATCGCGCAAAATAAATGTACGCTGTCTGGTTTTCGACTGGGATTTTTCTAGTCATCCATTTTTCGACTCGTTCCATTGGAATGAAAAATTGTAAAGGATATGACACCATCACACATATCGAAAAAATGAGCTTAATGCTTTGGTACATTCTGAAATTAAAAAAATTTTTACACTCAAAAAACAAAAAAAAAAAACTGAAGAACAATACGATGAAAAACATCGAGAAACCAAATCTCACGAAAACTTTAATTCAGTTACAGCTATAGAGCTATAGAATTTAAACAAGTGACTTACGGTTCGTGTGGTACGTTCAGAGTGATGGTATCGCTAACTTCATTACCAACAGCAAGGTAACCGTAAAATCCCATCATCGCAAATATAATCATCACAACCAAACATGAACAATTCAAAACTCCATTCCATTTAATAAAAAGTTGTGGCTGACTCATACGACTTTCTACCGGTAAAATCTATTAATAACAGAATATTCAAATTGTCACAATATTGATCTGTAGCCCTTCCGAATATATTCTTCCTTTTCAGCAAAATGAATCTTATAAAAATTCCATAAAAAGTTTCGGTAAAGAAAATCTATAGTTTTTGGAAATGACAAGATTAAAATCCGACAGAAAAAAACTGTCTGGCTAGCAAAAACTTAGTCATATTTTACTCTACGATTGAATGAAATTAATTTCTATATTTTATCGAACGCTAAAAAAACGTGAATACTAAAATCTTGTATCATACCACGGCGACTCCCTCAAAAGCGAACAAAACTGTTCCGAAATAAAGAGGAATATTTTCAATCTGTCCAATAGCTGGAAAACCAGACGACGGTTTCAAATGAGTGAAGAAGAAGTACAACAAGATAAATACGGCGGCTGTAAAAAGAGACATTTCTAACAGTGAAGAAATAGTGTACAAAAAACTACTGGGTTATTTCTCAGCAAATAATGAGATTTAGTAACGATATAAAACAGTGAATAAGAAACTTACATAAATATAAGCAGTTGGCAAGAAGAGCAAATGGAGCTAGCTTATTTAAATGACGAATCGAGCAGATCGACAGTATCGGAATAAGAAGCAATACCATCCAAACTGATCTCGGCATATGAATTATCGTGTTCATATCGAAAAACTTGAAGGAACATTTCACGAGGGAATACAGAAAAATTAATAAATGAATGTGCTAAAGTCCATTAAAATAAATTTATAAAAGAAGAAGGCATACGCTTTGAATATTATCAGCCATAAACACAAAATATACACAACAGAATCCAAGTTGCGCACAAAACATATTAATATTTAACAGCTGTCTGTAAAGGACTATTAATTTTAATGTAAAGACTGAAATATGAAGTAGATTATTTAAAATAAAATTGAAATCACACACTTTATCTCAAATAATGATTTATAACATTGAAGTTTATAGCATACTTAAAGAAATATCCATGGATACTTATCCAGGTTGGTCCGCTTTCTACGGCACTCCGCATGACGTTAGCATAATCAATAACATCTCTTCCGTTTCTGTAAAATGAAAATATAAAATCTATATTATTTAAATTCCATCTTAATCACTCAAGGCAATCATAATTACTATCCTTTCATTAAAGAGACGTAAATTCCTGCATATTCTCGAAATCCTCAACAAATTAACTGGAAAACTGATTTTGTAGAATTTGCGATTTTGAAAAAAAGAAATAAAACTAACCTTCGACAGATGTAATGTGCAGCATAAACTACCAATCTCATGCAATATAAGCATATGGCACACAGTATAACCATTAGAACCAAACCCAACTTAAAAAATGTTGCAAACATAATCGAAAATGTTTGAGTAGAAAGATGGAAAAAGAAACGATAAGAAGGACAGCAACTCACCCATAGTCCAGCATGTTTAAAAGCAAGAGGCAATGAAAGTAACCCAGTGCCCAACATAGCTTTGACCATATGAGCGAACGCTTGTTCAGGACTCAAGCTATTGTTATTCCTCGTTCGTTCTGCAAAAAGATAAGCTTCTTCGTAATCAACACCTCCACCATCATTCGATGAAACAATCACGTCGTCTCCCGCTGCTGTTACATTCGACTCCATCTACAAATATTATCAATACAGTCTTCGCAATAATCTTATTTCATTCTGGAACTAAAATATTTCAATGATAAAATCACTCGAACTATTAAAACTTTAAATGGTTTTAAAACCTACTCGAAAATTAGTAAACTTATTAATTAACTTCTAAAATATCATTTTCACTTTCTAATTAATTTATTAACAGGTCAAAGAGAAAACGCAAAGGTTTATGTGATGCCGTGCAAATGATAGTAAAATTTACACTCTGCTCGATCTGTAGCTGAGAACTGGCGGACTGCGACTTTCTCCAAAACCAACCAGTAACAGAAGTGTCTTCCCAATTTTAACATATGTTCCTATTTCCTCTTCTCGAAAGTACCGAGAAGCTAGATTGCTTCAAGTAATCTTTAATACTTTAAGTAACATGGGCAATTGTGCCATTTAAAGAGATGAATTCATTTACTGAGCAAACATACGGAAAAAACTATATCGTATCGTTGTATGAATTTCTTATTAACAATTCAATAGCGGTTGGAAACCATTCCAAAGAAATGTCCGTCGTATTTTATATATTTTTCTTAATCATATTTTCAACTAATTAGACAGAAGCAAAAATGAGTCTTAAGTGGTAAGTATATCGGATGGATATTCTAAACTTTCTTAAATAAGCAGTAGAAAAGTTTCGCACAAATCTATCCCTCATTTTCTTCACTATTTTGGATAAGAAATTGAATTTTTGTTAAGATTATTCAAAATTGTTTTGTCCCAAGTTGGCGGAATCTTTTTCCTGGGTCAAAATAATACAGAAATCAAATAAAAAATTCTCTTAAAATTTCTCAAATTCATTTTCATAATAGTCATATGCAAAAGATTGATCAGTTTTACGCTGATTATAGATTAAGAATTCTAGTTTCATTCATTTTATTATCCATCAGTAATATTTGTCATTGAGGAATTTATTTTGAATTAGGATAAATGTGGTAATTTAGGAAAGGTTCGTATTAATTATTTGATTTATGATTTTGTTTACTGATGCCAAACCATTGTTTTTTGATAATGCATCATAAGAATCAAGAACTTATTCCTTCACTTTTGTTTTTTCTACCCTTTATTGCAGTATTTGCTTTTGTTTTCTTTAGCATCTTTATTGATTTTTGCAGGAATTCAAGAAACTAATCCTTATTTTCTCTATATGAAACACTTTTTTGAAACATTCAGTTTGTTTTTATATAGAGAAATTTTGAAAAAATGTACCAAATAAGTTGTGAAAGTATTATTATTGGTAATAATATATTTTCTTCAAACAGTCAGTCATATTCTTTAAATTATAATTTTAAGTTTTACTTAACGTATAAGTTTATACCAGATTTTTTACCAATCATATCGTTTATCTTTCGATTTTATTTGCAATATTGCCACAAACTGATCGATGAGCAGAACCCCATATAAAACTCATTGCAAATTTTATTTGTGAAAATACTACAGTAAATCAAGAGTATATCACAGAAATAAATCCATCATGCAAAACACAACAGAATTTTGTTGGATAGCAAAGGAATTTTAGAAGCAGAAGTAATTGTGGAATTTACATGAGATTGTTAAAAAAGTTTTCTGATCTGCCTTACGTTAAACCTTCGTGCCATATCCCATGTGTCACGTTTCAATAATTGATTATGCCTCGATGAGCAGAATTCACTTTATTTTTTTCATTTTAAGTACACATAACTTCTGACATGAACTTAACTAAACTAAAGAGTTTAATTAGCGGTTTTCCTGCTCTACTGTTTTCATTAAGGATTAACCTCTTATTTATGTTTTAACTATTTAATTAATGATAAGATTGAAGTAATCAAATTCATACAGTTCATTAAAGCAATAAGGTGTGTAGTGAATACCTTCTACATTGCTTCAGGTAGAATTCACTTCTCTTTTTTATATTCCGGAAAATTTTGAACAAATCGTAATATTTCTTATACCTTGTACATCAATTTATCTCAGTTGATTTTAAGGTGAATAAAGAAATAGAATGTCAGAAGAAAGGTGCTTTAATTCATTATTTTCTTTGTTGTGATAACAAATTTGGTTGATTACTCGATTTCGTTGAGGTGATAACTTCTTAAATTAGATTTGTTTATTCTCGAAACTCTTGAAATGAATTCTCTTATGATACCCCATTTTTTTCGTTCTATATGTGGAAACTAAAACCAAAATCTAATGAACTGCCCACACAACTTTAATTTCAAATTTCCCCATAATGATGCAGAAAATTTACGTCGTCATCCACTACGGATCATAAATAAAATTTAGAAAATGTTGGGATGTTTTTCAAAAAAAAAAAAAGAAAATTTAGAACTGCAATTGTTGGACATCACGAAGAGTTGTAGAATTACTCGGCTGCCCGTTCATTCCATGCAAATATGCAAGCGTTGTAATTTGGTTTTTTTCAAACAAATCATGCGTGTTAGTGCACAGGCAATCCATAACATCGTTCTTAACACAGTCACCTAGTACTACCTTTCAGATGAATTTCAGAATGATGGTATAACTGGTGTTAGTATAATTTTTCAATCATTATTGAAAATGTTTTCCCGCATTTATGAATAATAACTTAATAAAAAAAGACCAAATACTTTACCTTCATTAGCTCCTTTCTGTTATTATCTTTGTGGAAACTCCCAGATAAGGTTTACCTTATCCGAAGCTTTAATTTTATAAAATGTTGAAGGAAACTGATTTATAGTAACCAAATTAAATTTCATCAAAAAAGAAATAACTAGAAAACATCATTTCATATATATAATAATAAAACAAATCAAAAATCAACTTTAGTGCATTTACAAATAAATTATATTTTTTTGTTAAATAGAAAAATAATCTCATTCGAAAATTTCATCAATATTTGAGCAATTTGAATGCTATTTTTCTAACACTAATTACAATTATGTATTATATTTGGACTAGAGGATTTACATTTGTAAAATAAGATATATTTTATGGATATTCACATTTTTATTGGAATGAAATTCAGTAAGGTTCTAGGGACTTGAAGGACTGAAATTTTTTAAATTCCAAAATTTTGCAAATTAATAACAAAATTAATTGTAACTGAATCAAATAAAAATAATTGAATTATGCATACAATGCTCATGCTTTTTCTAATACTTCCTCCAATTGAGAATCATAACCTTAGTACTTGAGATTTATTATCATCGTTAAGTGGCGGTAGCTCTGAAGACAATTCACTTGATGATACTCCACTGCTTCCCGATGACTCCTGAAAAATTAGGGAATTAAGCGTTTAAACTAATGTTTAAACAACAAAAATTATTCACTTATAACTTCAAGTTTTAAAAAAAATTCTAAACAACTCGTTTAACTGGATTAGAATGCCCTAACTCTCACGGACGATTCTATTGCCTCTTTACTAATGATACTAACCTGATCAAGAGCCTGAAGTGTTTTTTCAAAAAATGTACCACGACCGGAAGTATCATTATCATAATCGTAGTTGCCCATTGTATCCCCAATAGGAAGTAAACGCCGTCTGAGAACAACCAACCTAATCGGTTCACCATTTGCCTCAGTAACTAATTTGGTGAACATAAGTGGTGAACGGAATGCTTGCCCAGGCATTTCATTAATTTCCAGAAAGCTGAAAATTTCATTTCTGGCCGATTGTTAGTAATGTATAAAAATGAAAAATTCACAAGAAAAAATTATTGCAGCGCACCAGTCTTGCTCCCTTAGCGGAATGTTAGCACCGTTGACTTTTGTGACTTGCAGACAACCAAACCTCCCCTCAGCCACAGTAATATCCCGAGTTGTTAAAGGTGTCTCCAGTGCAACCACTTTGTCGTAACTGGTTGATCGCACCAATTTGAATAGCGGTATCACAGGTTTACCTCTCTATAAAAAGGACTGGTTGATTTCAATCCAGCAATTATGCGAGGAGATTGCAAATCTGATAACACTTAACATATTGCATCTTTTTAGTATCATGATTTATTAAACCTAAAGGGAATTTCGTGCTTATATAAGACTGAATAGTACCTTAGACCTAACACCACCAGTTCCGTTTATTTCAACTGGTGGATTTGTCTGTCGTACCTTCAGTGCTCGTAGCTCATTCAATATTTTGGTCCTCGTGTGCTCCGTTGATATACCAAGCTGCTCTGCAATAAGTAAGTTGCACTCTCAGTAAGATATTCCTCACAAACTTTCAGATAATGTTAAGTATTTTCGAACCATAAAATAATCTATATGAAAAAATATGCTTCTCTTATCTCTCTCTTATCATCTTATGACTACATAAAGTAAAAGTGAATAGAGAGATGAAAAAAATTTTAGTGCAGTATACCAAGGGTACTGTTATCCCATCGTTCCACATCAGCTCCATTAATATCATAACCGATCATTACTGATGCCACATCATCTAATTTACAATGTTGCAGCCATAGCAGAACATCGTCTAAACTCCACTCCTAAAAAAAATATTTATCCATTACTTGTTGAATCAATTCTCTAATTCTTTTATTCCAAAAAAAAAAAAAAAAAAACTGACCTAAAAGATCCCACAATGTTCATTCATCATGGCACCAACCTAATATAAAAGCAGTATCGCGCACTGTCACTCCTTCACATTTTTTTTTGTACAAAAACTGTTGCAATAACTTTTAGGTTATATTCGACAATAAAGAAGACGGAATTGATGTTTTCTTTAGTCTTAGAATTGTTTCGCTTGCAAGAAATACAATGAAACGATAATTTAACATGTTTTCAAAAGCATACAGCTATGGGTTTCTTTTTCCATAATGCTGCTTGTTTCTTTTCATGAGCTCGGCGATTACGATTTTGTGCTCGACAAGCTTCCATATTTTTCGGCAACATACCTGCACTGCCAGATATCGTCAAATCCGGACAACTTTTTCGCAGAGTTGATCTTAAATATTTTTAGATCAGAATACTTATTCTAATACTGCTTCACATTTTCTCCTGGCATATCATTCTCTGACATAGCTAATTGTTTCTGCTTTCATGATATAATATAAAATATCAGCATTAGTGATGAGAAAAAAAAGTTGAACTCGCTTTAAAATCAAAAACTTATTCAAATATACATTAAATCATAACATTTGAACTATTTCAAGTTCATAAAAAGTACTGCTGTTGACGGTCGTTACTAGATGATGGGCTTGACTCTGATGTACCAATATGATTTGTCGAATCTGCATCAATTAATAAATGTGCTGTAAATCATACATGATTATGCAGTGATAATAGATTTATGAGTACAGGGTAGTCCCTTTGCTGTGGATTGAGACTAGAAATATATCAAATTTTTATCTTATAGAAAATTAAATATCATAATATCTTTTAAAAATAACGAGATGAAAACATCATAAATTAAACATCTTTCTAGCACCTCTAACTTAATAAAATCTGAACAAAAGTCCAATTAACCTTTGCATCACTCTACAATTAAATGTAGTCATTTGTTATTTTGGTTGGACAATCTGTTATTCATTGAAAAATCGGAAAATGATTTTATGCATAATTCATTTGAAAGGTACAGAAATATTTACTTCCCTTTAATCTTTAATCTTCATGTGTAGCAGTTGCTGCTAATCAATTTAAAAGTAATTTCACGTTATCAATTTTTAGCCAATGAACATTTATGTGTGGTAAATTTTTTTAACTGAAAAAGTGATGAAAATAGACAAAATTTCTGAAATGACTATTTTTTGCCAAGTGAAAAAGGAATAGTATGGAACAAGTACTCACTAAGTGATGAGGGAAGCATTGGAGAACGCTCTCCTGTACAGAAGAAATGCTTTGAAGTTGTTGACGAAAAACCACCGCCTTTATTGCTACTACGAGTGTGAGTATTATTTGGAAAAACCTAAAATTCATACGAATATGTTAGTCTTACTTGACATGAAGTATGAAGTAGCAGTTAACAAAATTATTTGTTTGGGATTTCTATGAAAATCGATTGAAATCCAAAAAAAAAAAATTGAGGAATTTTTTCAAAAATTGCAAAACAAGAGGAAAATACTTACAAGCAGGAACGAGAATAAGAGTGAAAAATGAAATAATAATTACCTCAGCAACGGGACGATGCCACTGCCTTCGAATTGCTCCAACTGACTTAATACCACCAAAGCGTCTCATCATACCAAAGCGTGATTCATCTAAAATAACATAATTTGCATAGATAATAGAGTGTCTCCGCAGAAGGTGATCTCCATAAAGAAATTCATTATTTCATGATTTCTTATTCGAACTTAAAATTTAATTAGATGAATAGTTAGAGAAAGAGCGGATAAATAAAAGAAAAAGTAAAGGAGATATTTGGCATATATTATAAAATTCAAGGAGAAATTAAAATTCCATTCATTGAGTAATTCAAAGTTCATCATTAGAATTCATAAAAATCTCTGGTAATTTATGGCAGAAGAATAACTGGCTAATATACGTTTAACTAATGAAAAGTATAGTTGTATGTCTGATAAATACAAAGTCAAAGGATGATTCGAAGACAATGACCTTCCAAAATATTGAGAATCCAGTCTCGACGAAAAAAGTTATTAACTAGTTTCTGCTTTCATCTTTTCCGTCCATAAACTCTAACAAACCACTTGGTTGTAAGCTGTTTATTTGTCCAACACTGTCAACTAACTGTTTCTAGGAAAGAAATGACCAGTTGCAATACTGTTCATATTCTCATCCAAAAAACTTTTATAATCAAAGTCATGAGAAGTTTTAACAGATACTCATTCCTATTGCATTTCAAATTGATTGACTTTGGCTGTTTATCACAGAAACTCTTAAGAGGAGCGCCTAAAACCCATCATTTGATGAAAACGATCTTAAATAAATAATTTGTTCATTTTCATTTGTTCTTAGTGAAAAACTATCAAAAAGTTGACTTGTTTCCAAGTTTTGTAATAATCAAGCAGTCAATTTCAACTAAAATGAGTTGTTCACATCTAAATCATGACGCTAACCTTGATATGTTAAATGAAATAATGTATTCTCACTAAAAAAATTATGGACTCGCTACAGTGACAAAAAAAAACTTATTGAAATTCCTGATATTATTAAAATAAGAAATCTTCAGATAAAATCAAAAAAACAGGCGAAAATCAATATCAAAGGTTATCTGTTATCAATAAAATATAGTGAAAATAAAAAATTACAGTAGTGAAAGCATCTGACTTTTATAAATAGGTGAAAGAAATCGAAAGTTAATTAGAGGACAACTATTTTTTTACCTTTAGTACAATACCATAGCTAGACCCATATCAGTGAAACTAATCTTAAAGAAAGAATATTTTATCAAGGACCTTTTTCGATAACGAAGTAACATTTCAGGCAATTTTTACTGCAAATAAGACATACTTCTTCACCAAAAAAAAAAAAAAAAAAAATCTATATTCGGCTTATAGCTTCTAAAATCTTACAAATATTTGCTTGTAAAGATCTCTAAAAAATTTATTCAAAACAGGAAAAAAGCAGAAGTTTGAATAAAAGAATAAGAACTTAAAACTGCAGGGAAGTTCATTATTTCTCGCGGATTAATGTTGGTTAGCAATTCAAATTTGATTTTCATCATTAATGAATCAGTAATTTCTATTATTAAAACAGATAAACATTAAACATTTCCAAACAATTAGTTACTCTATAAAGCAAGCAAATTGATATACTACTGATAAACTTACCACTGCGATGTACGCCACTGTCATCGTCATCGTCAGCATCATTGTCAATAATGTCATCAATGGGGTATGTATGAGTGGTTGACAAAATTGGATCACATTCTTCACTAGTTTCCATTATTTCACCAAATTCAATTAATTTATTATTATTATTATTTCTGCATAGTTGAGAATGTAACCCACTGTGTTCGAAATCATCACAACTTTCACTCTTCTTCAGGCTCAATGTTCGATGACTGGAAAAGTATAACACGAGTAACTCTACTATTTTGCATTGATTATAATTATGTACTTCAAATTTAATCAAATTTATGCAATTCAGATAATTAACTTTTCTTCAATCATCTCACAGATAAGCGATTCGACATCTTAGTCGGCTTCTTAAATAAGGAAGGACTAGAGCTATAATATTTGTCGTCTCTCGGAACGGAAAGGAACGAACTTTTCCTGGATCGTAACTAAAGTTTTTTGACAGTGTAAGTGGGCAGGATAAAGTATGGTTTGGCTCTATGGATTTTTGCATCTTCAAATTTTACGTAAAACATGCGTAGTGAATTTGGATATAATACAATTTAGAAAGAAGAAAAACGAAATAAACTACTTTTAATTTGGAAATTTGTTTTGGGTTTTGAAAAGATCACATAATTTGGACGCAAATTATTCCACAACTGAATTTTTTGTAAAGACAGACTTCATGAAAAGAGAATTTTTTTTTTTTTTTTTTTTTGGAGCAGTGATTTAGGCAAGATAGGACGATCAAGATGTAATACTTCTGTTAAATAAGCAAGTAAAGTTTAGAATAGTATGTTAATTTAACGAACAAAAAGAACCTCTGATCACCAACAAAGTCATCGAATCGATTCTGCTGCGATATTTCATAGACCGGAAAACGACAACCCGTTACTTGTTCTAAAAAACAATTTTCAAACACTTATGGAATATATTATGTAAAAATAATGTAAAAATATGAACTCATAAGAAACAAGAAATACAGGAAGAGTCTAAAGTGTATTAATGAAATATTATTGGTTCTATCTTTTGTCAAAATGACTACTGTTTCTCATCAGTTATTATTATTTTTTTGCTTTATCCGTTGTTCTTAAATACAAAATTACTGTTTTATTTTATCATTTGATCACAATTTATTACATTTTTTGTTAACTGATATTCGATACTAAGACACTGGGATGAATCGAAAGAACTCAAAAATGAGAATATCTGTTGAATATTCTTTCAGATAAGTAAGGATGAAAAATTAAAATTGATTTTTTGGCATTAGTAGGAGTGTATTTGCATCCTATCCTATTTAATAAAAAGATTTAATAGTGTACTGAAAGTGTAACTTACGTGAATCAGATCTGCGACGAAAAGCTACTATATACTTCAGCATATCATATCAATCAAATGCGATCGGCAAATGTTCACAGAGAAGTCCAAAAATTGTAATATTAGAGAAGAGTAAGATATTTTCTCATAAAATAAGAGAATGGAAAAGACGTAAAACCTATTTTCCCGGATCCTTCCATACCGAGGATCATACTGACACACTGCTATAAATAACTAATTGTCAGGACGAAAATTATTACGGAGAAAAAACACTCCCATCTAACACAGATTGAAACTAATTTTGAAATGATCTCTTCGGAATATGCGATTGAAGCTATTGCGATAATAATATCTTCTTCGTTGTGGTGATGAGACGATGGAAGATATTGAATGAAGTAATAATTCGAATCGAAATTGAAGGTTAACTACTCTTAAGGCAATTATAGTTCACTTTTTATAAATAAGGTGATATTAAACAAAGCATTTGGACAGAGGATACTATGGTGAAATGAAGAATTAGATACGTTTTTTTGAGAAATGTTCTTTTCTATCAAAAAGGAAGGATGACCTTCTAGTTGCTCGATGATAGAAGTGGAGTAACAGTGACGGTAAAAGTAGTAAAAGATGTGAATAGGCCCATTGCAATACCATTTCATTGATTAAAATTGTAACAGTTCGTGAGAAGAGGCAAATACTTAAGCGAACAATTTTTTTTTAATTGAATTGTCAGCGAGGACATTAGTGTTTCGTATGAAAATGGGTCCCATCCATAGAACTACTCCCTCGTAATTTTTTTAAAAGGAAAAGAAAGACATTCCTGAGATTACAATAAACTTAAAGAAATATGCTTATCGAAGATATTTCTTTAATGTTCAAATCATCACGTTGGATGATGGTGAAACGTTATTCAATATCAATTTTGACTTTGATTAAAAGATAAACATACAGCAAAAATGGATACCTACCTAAAAAACTAATTAATGATATGGTACTCATATCATAGCAGAAGTTCATCTAAGCATGCTATAAATGCATCAATTAAAATGTTATAGAAACCTTATTTCAGCAAGAAAATTTTATTTCAAAACAAACTAAAAAATCCGCAAAAAATTTAGAATTCTTTGTTCAATATCTTTTACAAATTAACTTATTTCTCGAAAACTATTCCTCACCAATAAAATTGTTTACCAAATGCCTTGTTATTGGATACAGAAACGTAAACTTTTTGATAATGGTACGAAATGTTTCGACATCTATTTTGTCTGATCGGTTTTCCGTTATCTATATTTCTTCCGGCAGTTTACTTTTCCTTGGATGTAATGATGCGAGAAAGAAATTGCTCAATTCAATTCTATTAGGGTCGAAAGTAAGCACAGTGTAAAAAAGTATGCTACAATAGCCATATGCAACATGGCGTATAATGTAATTAAGGAAGTGTGAAATATGTTTAATAGAATTGATAATAATAAGGAAATGTAATGATATAATAATGATGATGATAAGGTTAGAAGTGATAATGACAAGTTGCATTTCCATACATGCACAGTGGCTCTTCCTTATCATTAGGCCACAGGTATTGTCTAAGTTACTTTGGCTCTTTGGAAAACGGCCAATGACTTAAAAAGTATGACTTAGCTTTTCAAGTGTATCTGTTGTCGTTGCTTAGATTTGGAGTAGTGTTAAATGAATTCTGCACTGGGATGACAAATAAGAAATTACGTAGAAAACAAAATCTACTTATTAAGCTAACGTAAGAGAATATGGCCGAAGACATTGGTCGAAGAATCCGATTTCCATGACAATGGAAAAGCTCTTAAAAGATTTGACACGGCATATCTGATAGGCCTGAGCGATCTGTGAGAAGTGAAAAGGGGAAAGGAAGAAATTAAAACCTCACAGTCGTTTATTTATTTCCAGCATACTATTGAAGAAGTAGACGAATTATTTTGAAATATGAGTAATACTTGCATAGGAATGCTACTCTAGTTTTCAGAGGTCATGACGTCTGATAGATGGCAAATGATGATACGGTAAGAATGGAATGATATATTAAATATGCTAGAAGGATCGTACTTTTCTTAATAAAGTATTATTTTTGTTTTCATTTTTGCGGTATTTAATCATCTTATGAATGATCCTGAAACTTTTGGATTATTTGTACTAAGTGATTATTTCCTAATTGAATTAAATTATTCCTATGCTTGTGCACAGATGTTTGGCTTTTTTAATCAAATAATTACGAAATTGTTAAGAAAGAAGAAAAGATATAATGAATGAAAAGTAGAAAATGAAAGAAAAAACATTAAAGAGGATTGTATTTATCGTACATTTATAAAGTTTTCTTCTGTCCCCGCCATCCTTCTAACAACTGGTTTATCAAAAAAAGAAATACTGAAAAAATGTTCAACAGCTGCAAGCTGCAAACTGTTGGTACGAGTGAATGACAACCGGATGATATTTAATTTTTGCACCAAAAAGAATGGTTTCAATCAAACGTTAAATTGTTTATCTTTCTGGAAAGAATTACAATTATCTTTTTTTTTTTAGATAATGAAATAATAAGAAGATTTAAGTATTGAAATAAACATGGCAAACTTTTGAGAAAAAAGATGGAGTTATCGAAAAATGAAAAAATACTTCGATCATGCAACTAACAGCTATACAAACCTTTTACTGTTAGATAAAGGACAGTTTGCATAAAAATTACACGAAAAAAACGATGAAAATGAAATTACTCAATAGTTATCATTATTTAAGGATGCTAAATTATCATGCATAATTAAGAATATATAACATTTACTCAGTGACCAAAAATAAGGCATAAAAATTTCCAGCTTAATTCAAGAAAACGAGGAAGTGAGAATTTACAACATGACCAAAAATACTTCCAGGTCACAATTTTTGTTTCCTTTTCCGGAAAAGTAAAAACGTGGTTTTTCTACCTATCCTTCAAATATATATATATAAGGATTTTCAAACTGTCACTGAGTGTGTCCATTCTTACCCAAATTAGCAACAAATAAACAGATATGATTTAAAATGATTTCTATTTTTCTCTGATTTCATTACTTTCCACAACATCTCTATCCCTACTATTCCTTCTCCTTCTTTCATTTGAAATTTTAAAGGTCAGTTCATTTTATCTGATGTCGCAACAAGCTCTGATTCACGCAGTCAACCATACCTTAAAAAAAGAGAAAAAAAACAATTACAAATATAAACGAGTGGTTCCAAGTCCGGGAAAGCAGTGTTTCTCATTTCATTATTGCTCATCTCTTGAAAATGTCTCAAGCTGAGTTAATGTATTCCAAGTATCTTTCCTCCGTCTTTAACTTCATAATTTCATTGATGATTTAATAACCTAAAGGTCCTTTTTTCTACGTTTCCAGCAAAGTCAAACAGAGTATGAAACGAACTGTCTTATTTCCTAAATTGATTTCACCGTATAAGTCTTACAAAAACAATGACACACTAGCTTGTCGTGGCCTTTGAAATCTGTTTCTTGATCTTAGAGTAATCAATAATAATCAGCAACCTCAGTGATAAATTATAAGACAGAGTTTCTTCCCCTTTTTTTACTCTTCTTAAAATACGACAAAATTACGTCTCTGTAGATTCACTTCTCTCTTTTTTTGATTTCATATCCTCAGCTTCATAAATTATTCGACGACTCAATTAATCAAATTTATTGAATCAAACTATTATTAGTCTAAATGAAATTTCTTTTTAACTACGCTGTATTGGTAAATATTACACTTTCTGTTTTTTATTGATTTTAACTGTATCTCCAACTATGCTTATAAAATTCTACAGCACTCCATCATTACACTGTATTTTACAGTCAAGCATACCTATTAATAACAACCAAAAAAATAATGTTCTCATGGTTTAGACTATATTCCACGAAAATACTGTACTGATTAAGCCTTTCGGCATTTCAAGCGCTTTCTCTAAAATGTAGAAACATATCAAAAAAAGAAAACTGATTCCGATTATTGCAAATTGCCAGTCCAACTGGAATGATACCTCCAAGTGGCCTAGTTGCTATGGAAGGATCTTTTGTCGAAAAATTAAAATTCTCGGAAACGCGGGCGAACTGCAGTGGAGCTATTGTAGTCTGAACTATTTCTTCTGGTGTTCGTACTGATTCTCTTTTCGATTCATCATAAAACTTGTCTGATCTGCAAATTACGAATTAAGTTTTTTAATAATTTTACATATTAATAGATAGTCTAAGAAGTAAATAATTTAAAACATTTCATTTAGCGAAATATGAATCGTTGTCTTGAGTTGATGTTATCTTTTGTAAGGAAAGGAGTGAACGAAACCAATAAACCGGTAGCTTTTTAATAATTTATTACAGATGATGTGCCATGGACAAAATTGCTGAAGTATTGAAATGAAAAGGTGTATATCGCAATCATCGGAAGACATTTGCAGCCAACAAATCCATTAATAAGTCATTTTATTGTAACAGTACTTTTTCACTCAAAGTCAGAATAAAACCGATAATTTAATACATCTTATAGCTTGAAGAAAACAGATATGAGAAAAGGATGTTATCATAAACTTCACTTATCTCATGTTCTGGGGTCCAAAAATGATTTAAATTACAAAAATGATTTAAATTACTTCAAAAAAATGTGACGCAAATCACGCAGTTAAACTTTGCTAATCTATAAATTAATTAATCGAAAATCTTTAACTATTAAAGCCTCTAACTATTTTATTAAATATCTAATGAATTGGTCAATTGGTGTAATTGTCAAACATTTGCACCAGAAATTTAATTCTCAGCTATTATTGTAAACAGTAATGTATGGTAGCTAAATTTGATCTTACTTCCTTTACACTACATTATCCCTCGACGTTATAATATCTTTCTTCAGTTATTAATCATAAAATAAGGAAAAACAAGAGACAAAGAGAAGGAGTGCTAGAATCAAAATATACTTGAATAGAAATAGAAAACTCAATAGTTGAAGTTTTTTAAAATTTAAATTATATTAGTTACAATAATTAATGCATAAAAGCTCAATTATTTTTGAAGACACAACTAAGAACAATTCATTCTTTTATAACGAGAATGAATGTTAGTTAACAAGTAAGGAAAGACAACGGCAATCGTAATTCAAAATAGTCGATGAGTGTTTCATTTGGAAATGTTCAGGAAACATACCCAATTTGCTATATTAGCTGCATAATGACGACTGGAATTCAAAAATTTTTCATTCTTGTTCTAATCCCATCAATAGTTAATTCTTTTTAAATACTTAAAACTTTGAGATTTCGATGTCATACATTAAAATGTTAATAAATCAAAGGATTATCACTTCTATTGCATTTACACGTAGGATCAATCTGTATTGGATGGTATTATGTTTGCTATATTATTCAAGAAAGTAAAAGTATTTTACCGGAAGCGCAATTCGATTAAACTAGTGTATTTGGCTAATATGATTTGTTTACTCACTGAGAAGCAGTGAGCATTACTCTCGGGAGATAATGGAAAGTAAATACGAGTCATAGTTCTGTGGAGAATGAAGCATATTATCACTAAGAAATGAGGGCGGAACAGGAAAACGCAATTATTGTATGAAATATTTCAAAAGAATGAAATTTGGAATAAGGAAAGGAGAATAATGGACCGAAAAGTTCATCAAACTGATAATTTTAAGTGAACTGTAGCAAAAAACAAATGCAACAAAGAAATTAAAATGCAATGACCTCGTCGCATTTTATCTGCAAATTCACTTTTCCATTTTTCCTCTTATTTCTCTTTTATATGATTCGACCTATTATTTTTAGCAAAATCATGAAAAATTCTACAGCTTTAAACTTAGTTAAAATGGAAATACAACAAATTCAAAACAAAATTTGTTAAGTCGGAGGTTTTTTGATAAGTTGGAGATTTACAGAGAAATCACATCTTTTGGATAGCTAATAATTTAAATTATGGAAATGTAAAACAGTGACCTATACAGAATTTGGTGTTTAAATAGGAATGAATGCAAACGTTGAAAGTTTGTGGCATAGTCTAATATATCGGTCACTAAGCATGAGATCATCCTTTTATAATCAAATAATGACAAAGTCTCTGCTTATAATGATATTGAGCGTATTCTATCAACGAATTAGTAACAGTTAGTATTATCATGACTGCTTAGAGTGGTCTCCTGGAAGATCACGTTATCGACCATCAGACTATTCTGTTTTCATTAGTTGAAGTTCGGTAATTGATGACACTATGTAAAACATTTCCTTAGAATAACATTTTCTGCTTGTTTATCTTCCGACTCCAATAATTGGTTTTAAATAATTTTGTAAACTTTAGAGAAGATTTTATGAAACACAGATATAAAATTTTTGCGATGGGGAGAATTTGGTAATATCCAATGGTCATTTATTGAGACGAGATGGTCATTATGAATAGACCCGGACTATTTACACGATAGCACTGATCATAATGGAAGTGCTCTTGGAATGGCAATGGAAAGCTCAATCTGGTCCGATCAGCTGATACTAACGACGAATCTGCTGTTGCGCTGTTGCTAAATTTGTTGACCTGAATTTTTCATTATTAATACCAATTAACAAATTTGATGTTGCATGCGAAAATCGCCTGCTCCTGCAACATTCAACAGAATGTTCAAATCTGTTTAATCAGAAATGAAGAAAAGCTGTGCCTTCAACGATATTGGCATACAGCATTGAAAAGCATTCAAGAATGGCATATCACGTTGTCAAACGACTGAATCTTGATAGGGTTAGCATTCTTGTAAACAACGACCTTAAAAGCTAATGCTAAGCTGCTCTATGTAATCTTTGTTTATAGTCTTCTGAATTGCTTCAAGCATGTAGAAGGAGTTACAGCACAGAATTAAGTTATTGAAGTGATTCCGGTGCTAAGACTGGTTTAAATTTAAAATCCACGAGTGCATATTAGATATACCAATAAAATGGAGCGAATAAATCAGTAAATAAATACTTACGGCTTTCCAGTCTGTACGACAGTTATGTCATGCACAGATGGACGCATTTTTTGTTCTTTTTTACCGCGTAATGTCCAATTTCCGCTAAAGAATCCTGTTTTCAATCGACCGCTACTGCAATTATATTGGTTTCTTTTTACAAATTTACAATTCTTACGTTTAATGGAAGTATCTAAAAGAATAGTAAATAGGACAAACTAATTTTCATTTATGAAAAGAGCATAACATTAATATTTCAATAGTCATAGGGGGTGTTTTCGATATTTTTTCTTAGACAAAGTGTGTTTGTTAATCTTTTAGTGTAGTAACCGCTAATTGTTACATCTCACAGATACGAATAAATTTTCTAAAAATTTAATGTTCTTGCTGATAGGGAAGCAGATGAGAGCCCTTGAAACACTACATAAACAATGATGTACAGACACACAGAACGAATTCTATAAAAATCCATTTGAAATGTCCTACAAAGTAAGTTACTACACCGAATGTGCTGTCGGTATTGCAAGTTGCTTTCGTTGCTTTATGAAAACTGAAGAATGAATTTGGTTTTTTTTACTTGATATAATTTCCCTGTCCAAAATAAAGGGTAAGTAACAAATTATTAAAGCAAGAAATGTGTATCAAAATGATATATAACTTAGTTACACATATTTGAATGTCTAATATAAAATAGCAGTGTTTAACAATGCAAAAAAACGTAATTATTTCTGCAGCAACCTGAAAGTTTTCCAAATATTTAATAATTTTAACCTCGAAAATTTTGGAGTGTCAATAAGCTGAAGTTTCAATAGTCTAAGAAGTCCGGTTATTTAATGGATGTTACTTACTTATATAATCTTTGGATAATTAATCTAGCAAATTGGTCCGTTTTATACCAAGCATAATTCAAGTATCATACATTTTAGAACACGTATGCGGTTGCTGCTGCTGAGAAGAACCTGGCTGTATGTTACACGTGTGAGATGACGGTCGTGAATGCATCGACTGATTGTATCGTGAGAAACGTTTTAGTGTCGGTTGATCGGATACTGATTCGTCCATCAAGCTCGCTATCTGGAATGATCTGTACTTCAACACGACTAAGACCATTACTTCAATTTCACGTTTATTTAAAGTAATTGTAATTGTATGAAGCTCAAACGTTACATAATTGTTACTTAAACGCTACTCTAATCATTATGAACATATTTATTTAGGATGCATAAGTTGGAGAGACTTTATTTTTAGTTTCAGAGGATATTTCTTGAATCAGAAACAAAAACTACGAAAATTGTTTGTAAAACAATTAATCATCTTATGTACTGAATGGAAACAACATTCACAAGCAGTTTACAAGTTAAATTGAAATAAAAACAAGTTCTCATAGCGTTTATGCTTCCTGCTTTACTTTTAAACAAAAACAAAAAACTAAATAAAGACATTCATTCGTATAATCCATTGATAATTTTACTAGCATTACAGAGTCGACTCTTCTAATTCATTTCTTTACCAACTGACTATCTGCAAACCTTTCTTTCGGTTTCACTCATTATTAGATTCCAAATAAATGATGGACTGATGTTCTTTTGAATTCGTAATTCATATACAGACTTTTCGAGGGAAGACTCAACTGTGCCAGTGTAACATAACTGACCAAGCCAGTTATTGAACAATGTTTACATCCAAAAGAAGTGAATGATAACATAAGTTTATTTTTATTGATTGTTCGGATTCTCAACAAGCCAGTTGATTTAATGGTAAACGGTACTAGTGAAATAAAATGAACAAATATCAAATCGAGTGATTTACAATACTTTCCATATACACCTATCATCCCCGTTGTATAGAAAGAATTTTAATTGTGCATGCAATGACTGAATTACTCAACTAAGGAAAATTACAGTTTCCCTCAGAAAAACTAACAAATGTAGTAGGTCGATATCTTTTCCAGGTGCTGAAAGAAACAGAGATACTGGATAGATTTAGGAATTTTAAAAACGTTCATCTATAATTTCTCGGCAAATATTTTTCATCACTGTTCAACAGTGATTATTTTTGTCTATAGCTATAGCTTGAAGAATCTTTAACGCCTTCTAGTTACATAGCTACATTAAAGGAAAAAGTAGATCAGCACAATTTCGAATGATATATTTTAGCTTTTATCATTGGATATGTGTGCTTTTCAATAGCCTAGAATTTGGTGAATTCGGTAACTTAAAAACTAGACATATATGAAATTATGACTAGTAACACTCGAAACTAGAATACGCAAATGTGTTCCCATTAAGCCGTTTTTTATTAGTTTTATTTATATCTGTTTGGTAGGGGTCTAAATCCTTCCTGGCATGAACAGGGATTAGGAATCGAAGGATTTGTAATTCTCTTTCCAGAACATTCTTGGTGACCACTCATTGAATTCTTCCAAAAGGTGAATTTATGTTTCATTTTAGGGGTGAGAATGTTTGTTGTTTCGCTTTGAATAAATCGCATGTACTAGCTTTAGGTGATGCAGACAGATGTCTTTGCAGCAGAGTAAGCTCAGAAATTCTGTCCACTTCAAAAAAATTCTGGAAAAAGTTTGACAGACTTAATTTCATCTTCTGCTTCCACCGCAACAAACTTGGGATGGGTGAATCCAGAGAAGGCCTTGATGCTACTAAGATGTTTGGAAAATATGGAGATGATAACAGTGTACAAGAGAAGAAGAGGAAACGGGAGTGCTATAAAAGCAATGGAGAAGGTTATTCCTATAGTGAATTAGAGAGAGAAAGAGAGAGAGGGGGAGAGAGAGAAAGAAAAGAGATGATATGATATTAACCAAATTAAAATTTAATCAGAACTGATTAAATTTAAAATAATTGGAGAGTGTCCTAATAAAGATAATCGAAAGCAAGCAGTAAATAGCGTCAGCAGATAGGAGTGATCATTAGAAAATCTTCAGTAGAATCAAAAGCATTAATTTAAAATGAAACTAATTACTCATGTCATATCATTTCAGCGTTTGCTTTTTGAACTAATGGATATTTAACATTTTATTTCATACTGCAGCTTATTGGTTAAGTCATAAGTTGAGAAGAAAGAACCTCTAGTATTACTGAAATACTATTATACTCTAAGAAATGTTTGCCAGATATAGTTCGCTAAATTATTTGTTTTTAAAATTAGGACTTCCGAAGTTTTTGTAGTCTTTCCAACCACCACTTTCATTACAGATCGAGACATAATTTGTGAACATTATAAAGTAACTGGTTAAATGATACTGCTAGAATAATTCTGTGTTAATATAACCTGCACTGTAATAATGCTTTATTTTATTATGTCTCATAACATAGTTTTGCACTTTTCAAAAGCTTCAAGGCTGAGAAGGTGCTGAATATGAATGATAGTCATATTAATTATATCAATAAATAATCACATCAGTTAATAATATAATTAATGTTAATAACAAATTATCCGAGCCAAGCAATTATAGGTGTTATTATAGGTCTCGAAAAACTTACTTCATATGTGTCTATTTCTTGATAGTAGATTTTAGCATCTTATTCACCTCTTATCGGTTTAAACTGTAAGTGGGGAAGAAGAAGCTCTTCAGAGGGAGAAAAAGTGTCATAAGGAGCAAAATAGAACAGAATCATCTTTAATCATCAAAGGATAATGAAATAAGATTTAAAATCTCATTAGAGAAGTTGGAGAGATTTTCCCAGCGTTGCACACAAGGTCAATTGCAATTTACACCGCTCTTCTAAAGAAATGTGCACACAGTCTCAATGTATCATTATGCATGAGAAGAATGACATTAGTCTCACCGTTAATACTTCAATCTCTTTTGTCATACAAAAATGTATTTAAATCAAAAAAAGGACAGAACGGGAAAAGTATTATGAAAATTAGAAGTTTCTATTCTCAGAAAAAGGATTCCGTGGCAAAATTAATGCTATTATGTAGTTTATAATTAAGCTTCAAAATTAGGACTTCCGAAGTTTTTTTTTTAGCGAGAAGCAAATGAAATCTATAAGCACTCATGAACGATTATCAAACCGATACTTCAAACATTTCATATTTGACTTTACATTTTGCAAATTAGCTAATAAATTTTTCCATTAGCTATAACACTTTATTTCTAAGCCTTCGTCATAGTCATATGTCGCCTGATTCTTAATTCAATCAAATGAAAAAAAAGCTCACCTCGGACAACTGCCTTGATCGTACCATGATTGCGTGTTGCGATGTGAAATCACCACGGTGCAGTGGTAAATCGTCACTTTCAAAAATCCTCAGCACTGGTGTTTGTTGACAGATTCTGTAGCTGACGAGATCAGAATCGCTTAACGGCTGAAATTTATCAAATAAACAAAATTTATAAGAATGCAACTAATGAAAGTGACGATGAGAAGAGTAAAAACAACTTTTCTTCTAAACAATATGAGAATATGTCGTGAAGAGAAAGGGAAAGAAAAAAGTTATCCTGCAAAATTTTTGAGCAAGGATATGTATGGCAATATTGAAATTAAAAGCTTCATTTTATTGCGAAAGAAATTTTGAAATTCTCCCGACAGCAATTTTAATACCTTCAGATCTTCCTATTAATATTAGAAAATGTGCAATTATTAATTAACTAAATTCAACTACTTTAACAATATTAAACAATCTGAAGAGAAAGAGAAATATGAACTATTTACATTTGCACCTTATAAAAACTTAATTTTAGAAAAGTGAGTACTTTAAAAAATAAATATAAAAATTTTAAGATGGATTAACAAAAAAACGCACTAAGTTATAACTATCAGAGACTTTTCCATCGTTTTATACTCAGAAGTGGAGGTAAGAGAAGACTAATATACTTCCAATTAAGTGAGATGAAATCGAACTTTCTTTCTAAAAAAAATGAACTGGAAATAAGGGATAAAATAAAATGAAGTGTGATAAACATTACTCTGCACAACCAATGAACAAGAAAATTATGCATTTGTGAGAAGCATATATATATGTATATATATATATATATGCAGGAGAGATGTCACTGTCATTGTCCTATTGAAGCAGTAAAAAGAGGTCATCCTGAGCAATACTCTAATAGGTACACTGACCATTATCCGCTTCTGACCTGTTGATATAACTTTGTCAGTTTGAAGGTAGACTTCTTAGTTAATGAACTAATTCAGAATTATTTCAAAAATAAAGAAGATCTGATTTACCCAAATCTACAGCTACTAAAATACTTTAAGTCTCTAGATCTAAATTTTTTTATCTCAATAGATATAAGTTTGAGCGCGCAACACATAACGCTGCTTTTTTGGAAAATTTAAGAATACTAGAAATGATTATTAATCTTTAAAATTTATGCCGAAATTTTTTTTTTAAAAAAAAGTTGAATTGTAAAAAGAGAATAAGCTAGACTGAAATCGAAGTGAAACAAAGAGCAGATAAAACTATCTTCAAGCTGTATTTACTAATGATTCCTTTAGAAGCAAATTTTAATCACATTTTAATTTCAATATGCAAAAGAAGGATGAAAAGAAGTACGGAGAAAACAATCTCCACTCATTTTTTAATATATTCCTCTTATTTTAAGAGGAAATTCCACAAATTATAAATATAGATGATGATTTCTTGGGTAGAGGGAAAAACAAGAAGGAAACAGTATCAAAAAATCTTCCTTTTGTTTCAAAATTAAAATGAAATTGCGAGATCCTTCCGTTATTTTGAAATATATTTCCTGAATCAAAAAATGTCAAGGCAACTTCGGACATCACTTCAGATGTTTAAAATTGGACCTCTTTAATGAAGCATTTAAATTATATTAGTTACAATTAATGCATAAAAGCTCAATTATTTTTGAAGACACAACTAAGAACAATTCATTCTTTTATAACGAGAATGAATGTTAGTTAACAAGTAAGGAAAGACAACGGCAATCGTAATTCAAAATAGTCGATGAGTGTTTCATTTGGAAATGTTCAGGAAACATACCCAATTTGCTATATTAGCTGCATAATGACGACTGGAATTCAAAAATTTTTCATTCTTGTTCTAATCCCATCAATAGTTAATTCTTTTTAAATACTTAAAACTTTCTTCGTCACATACTTTGAATTCTGAAAATTTGATTGAAACGCTTAAAGGCACTGGTAGGATGATCCTACCAACCATAAATTTGCTTTTTACTTCAATTCAATTTTCTACTTTTTCTTTGTAGCACAGGGGAAAGTGAACTAAGGAATAGGAAAAAAATTTAACAAAAACGATGTTTTATTTTTATAAAGATTATTAAAAAATTTCCTTAAAGAAATTTATAATTGAATTAGCATATATTCATTCTTCCAACTTATCTTTTTACTTTTAATTCTGAATTACGGAAACTTTCTTACGTAGTGGCGAACAAATTACAAGTGTACTATTCAAATTTTCATTCTGGCCTTTGTGACAGATATGAACTTGAAGCAGATCTATAAAATATTAGAGGAAAAAGTTAAGTGATGGAAGCAAGCCTATCGGTCTGTTTCATCATGAACAGCTTTTTCGAGTTTGTTCTATGTGTCGTCATCACAAGTCTGCAAGAACAGAAGCTGCAGATCCTGTTGGAATAAAATCTGTTCATAAAACATAGTAAATTACAATTTACACTATTTAAAGGAATATTCACGGGAATGCTTTCGTTTAAAGTTATAGTAAACAGTGGAAACGAGTAAATGATGAAATTTAAGATCAAATTTTCAAATCAGAATGAAGTGAAAACAAAAGAATTTTAACATAATGTTGTAAATTTTTAGTGGGTGATAACATTGTCGTCCATGATTAGTCTAAATTTGAGTAAATGCTGACCTTGGAAGATAAAAGTTATTTTTTGAAAGAAGTGACCTGTCCACCCACGTGCAACATAATTCTGCATTTTTCTGTTTTAAAATTATGAATTGAGAGTAGAAAAGGAAACAATCAAATATTCGGAATTAAATTTTGAAATTATTCTAATGGTGATAATAAATGAAGGACTGAATGAAAGGGAATATTTGGGAGAAATTTTGTATGGGAAAAGACATTCGTTAAGAAACATGAGAAAGAAATTTTTTTAGACTGCTAAAGTTTTCAGTGTAAAGTTTAGTTATCTTTTTGTACGAAAATTAGTGGTTGGAATTCTATTACTTGAATGATATGTGAATGAAAAGAATCAAGAAAAAAAGAATGAAAAGAATTGAGAGATAGCACTTCTTTTAACTTCTAAAAAAACTAAAAATTTTCTCGCAGAATGAACGTCTATCATTAATTATGTCATTAAATAACTAAAACAAAATAGAGGAGAGAGAGAACATTTGGATTACTTTCATAGGAAGAACGAGAAGAAAAGTGCAGAGTGATGAGAGAGCAAAAGAGTTTTAGCATCAATTTATTTCTATTTATTTTATTTATATGAAATTGTTACTTAACTTGAACCGAAAATTTAACTGAAACAAAAAGCAAGTTTGAAATAACATAATTTCACTAAATTTTGAGTGGTTTCGTAAGACTATCCATGTTGCCGTTTATAATAAAATGTTGTAATAAGTTCGGTCAACCGTACCACAAAAGGAAATAAATTTATAAACAAGAACGGAAAGCGAAGTTATTTCCTTGTGTTTCTTTTCTTGATACATCACATTTTTATTAAAACCATTTAAACCAATCAAATATAAATTTGTCAAATGATCTCTCTGCAAAAATCAAGAGATAAAAGGAATAATATGAGATAGAGGAAAAATTACTGACAAACGAAAAATAATTCTTCTTTATCTTTTTTACAAACTTTCTTTAAATTTAGGACAAAAGTTCTATCAGAAATGTATATATTGGAAAACGAAGTAGCGACATTATTGAGGCCTACCATCTATACAAGTTGAATATCAGAAAAATGTCCAAAAAGTTCAGCAAAGAAAGTATTGTGAATAATTAGCTGAAATTATTTTTCACTCAGGTTCACATCAAACAAAAATTACACTCCAAAACTATCTCTAAAAATTCATAAAAATTTCACGCTCGATTAAATTAATTTTTTACTTCCAAAAGATTGTTGTCATAAAAAGATGAAAGAAAAATTCTTAATTCTTAAGGTGGTAATATTTAGGTATCCATTTTGTTATAAGAATGAGTTTATAGTTTAAGCTGAAAATGAAATTTGCGAAGATTTAATAAGCATTAAAATATGTACGAGCGACTAATTAGCCAACCGTCTCAGTCCAACCATCACAGACAGATGACAACATCTTTTGTATTTCAATGACAAAGAAGTAAAAAAGGCAGTACACCAGAACTGTCAACACTTTGGTAATATGGATGGAATTACTATTTAAACTGAATTTAAACTAAGCTTAATCCAGAAAGACTTGAAGAATAATTAAATTTTCGACTAAAATGAAGTTGTAATAATTTATATCTATGAAGAAGAATATGTCTTTAAAATCTTAATTAAAAAACGAATTTAAAAAATATTTTGGTTTATGATTTGTCTCATTTATAAGTTCATAATTTTTCAGAAATTTCAAAGTCACACAAGCGGTATATGAGGTTACCTCTGTCAAGATAATGTTTCAATAAGAGGTCATTTCAATTTTCTGAAATGAAAAATTTCCAAGCAAAAGTGCAGGTCGGAGAACATCCGAAATTTAAAAAAATGATGTTCTGTATATATACTTTTCTTCTATTTTTTATTTTGCCTTAGGATAGGAAATAAAATTTGTTCAGTGGACTGTAATTCAAACATTACATAGGATTTTATTTTGATTTGTTTTAAAGTGAAAATTTTAATACTACTAATAATAATGTGAGGTGGTTGTTCACCAAAACATTGTTACGTCGTCAATTTTGAAAGTTAAAAGAAAATAAAGTAGTCTGACCACTAATCCATCAAAAGGAGTGAAGTTCATCAATTCAGGAAGTGTAATTATTTGTAATATTGTAAAGTCGTTCTGATGAAAATTCCTATCTGAACAGTAGAGAAAAGGAAAAAGTTTTAAAGAAGTCAAAACTTTATTGTGCTTTTCAGTCAGAGATAACTGATGCTACTATTTGCGAAATTCCGAAAAGAAATTGAAATTGGAGGGAGTAATTTCAAAAAATAATCAATGTTCTGATCTTATGTATAACACTCGAGGTACTTTCATGATAAATATTCTGATAGAATAATAAGGAATGCTGGTGATACGGGAAAGAATAAAAATTAATTTGCCCGATTAGAAGAGTTATTACAATCAATTTGACTTCATTACATGCCATCTTCCATCTAAAATTCTCGTTTTAAATTAGCTCATTTATTCCTTTATTAATTTTTTTAGCAATCATTTTTTTTAGAAAATAATTTTTTT